GTTGGAGACACGAATGCCCAGGAAGGAGCCCACGTACCCCCTCTTACCCAGGCCATAAAGGCTGTTGCCCTCTTTCTCCACTGGTGTGGACTGGTCCCTGAGAGAGGTCCCTTGCATGGATTCCACTATAACAGAGTTGGGCTTGGGGTGCTGATGGAAGGAGGACAGCGGTTTGTCCGCCAATTTGTGAGTGGACTCAACTTCACATAAGGGAGACAATGTCGAAGTGAGAGCCTTCCAGGTCTGCTGAGCCATAAGGAGTAGGACCAGCGAGAGATTAATACACACAGGTGTGGAGTGGGCCAAGGACAAGTCCCCAGAGACGGGGTCAGCCTCGGATTCTGCCGGGTGTGAGGCCAGTAGGCCAAGGTCATCTACTCTGTGAAGAACCATATCGGCAAAGCTCTCTCCCCCACTAGGTGACATGGACAGGTCCTGCTTTGGGGCCTGCGAGTCTGGAGAGCAGGGAGGGGAGTCCGGGGACTGTGACTGGGCCAAGCAGAGGGACATGACTCCCTGAATGGGGACCTGAAACGTCGCGTGGGCCCTAGAGTAGTGGAGGAGCAAGGCTAGCAATGCTGTGGAGGACTGCAGGAGCAGCAGTGCTGGTCGTCTCCGTTGTGGGACCTTCAGGAAGTATGGATTGAGCTGAAATTCTTGGTGAGTTGGCAGTGGCCCTCCTGACAGTGAGGGGAGGACTCTAATTGGAAAGCTGGTCTCATATGCGCAGGCATGCATGGTGCGCAGAAGTGGCCTCGCTGGCACGGTGGGCCTCTGTATGCCGTCTCATTGGGTGGCACTGATCCTCTTCGATGTCAGGGACAATCATGTGGTCTCAACGCCAAGGAAGTTCGCATGCAAGGTGCAAGCATGGGAGCTTGGCATGGGGCGGCAGTGGGTGCTGTCAGCATTGGCTCCAATGCTGAGGGAAGGAGGGCCTGACCAGGGTCTCGAGGCAGTTGAGGTGCTGGTGTGAAGCCAGTGGTCTGGGGTGGCCTCAGTTGGTGGAGGAGGCACAGTCCTCCTACTCCAGTGGTACTATCAGCATGGAGCTCTCCTCTGCACTGCGGGAGGGTTCCTGGATTCTGACGGGTCTGTTGAGTACGTGGACACCAGGGACCATGACGAGGAGCCATCCCAGCTGGGGAAGGAGGCGCAGGGAGACCCCCATGGTCCTGCAGTGACTGGGCCTCAAGCCGTGGTCGGCATCAGCGAGTGGGAGAGGAATCGGGTCGGTGAGGCAGGTGGCATGGGCAACGACTCACGTGTGGACAACCGCTGAGGAGGTGAGGGTCTGCTGTCCAGTGATCTGGCGCACACTGGGGAGGGGGCAGTCTGGCGGCAGAAGTGGCTCCACTGCCTCCGAGGGAACGCCCAGGTCTGGCGTGCACGGTCAGACAGGTGGCGAGGAGCTGGGAGCTGTGGCGCGCTTGGTGGCCCGGCGCTGCCTGCACTTGGCCGGCAGTCTCCGAATGGCTGTGCGAGGGGAGCTGTGGTGGATGCGGCGGCCCTCCTCCTTCTGCGCTTTGGTGGACTTGTGGCTTCCTCAGCAGAGGGAGGCTCCTCTGCCTCCGGAGATTCAGTGGCTCTCAAAGTGTGCTGCCAGAGGGTGAATTCAAGACAGTCTGCCCACTGCCAGTGAGTTTGCTTTTTAAAGGCCTGGCGGTGCAGGTGGGTCTGCACAGCAGGTCCCTTGCCAAGGCAGAGGTGGCAGCAGAAACAGCCACCGGCAGCAGGGAGGCAATCGGCGCAGGAGCTGCAGTGGCAGAACGCGGGGCTGGCCGTCCGGTGGGTAGAGGCATGACGGAGAGGGAGAGAGAGAGAGAGAGAGAGAGAGAGAGAGAGAAGGAGAAAACAGTCGTTTCCTTCTCCCTTGCAGGGTGAGAGAGACTGGCCCAGAGGAACGGCGGGGGATCTCCTATTAAGGTAGGACAAAATAGAAATTAGAGGAATTTTTTAAAGATTTTTCTAATGAGAAGTAAGGAGCCAAAAGAGAAAGAGCAAAAGACAACGGGAGTTAAGTGGAAGGTTCCAGTGGCGATGCGAGTGCAACTGGAAAGGAACTGGGGGGGTGGCTGAGAACCCCCACCCTTTATCTGGACTTCCAGAAGGGGGGAGAGGGGCCCCTGCCCACTCCATGACGCTTTGCTCTGGAGGTTTCTTTCCCATGTAGGCTGTGTGCTCTGCAGAAAAGCACGTATGTTTGACGCACAGAGACCATGAAGAACAACGTTATAATAATGCACAAACCCATGTGAATACACTCACTCATCATTAAGCAATGAGAACTTCCCTGCAGATCTCAGTGAGGTCAGATTCACTGTATTAAAAATAAGCATAACAATATCAGAACTCTACTTTCTTGAATAGATATCAGAATCACGCTCCCCAAGCCTAATTGAGCTTATTACAAGCACTAAAACATCTTACTTGTAAGGGAAAGCAGGATGGCACAAATTGGCATAAGAAAGAAAATGACTGCTTTGCATATTTTTCATATTAATAACATAAATAATCGATATGCTTGATCTGCTGAGGTTGCCAGTAACACTTCTTATCTGTTGAAAAGGGAACAATACCCTTGCTGGAGTCCTGCTTGATCTCAATAGGGAATAACTATGGCTCTCTTACTGATGCACAAACAGAGGCCAAGAGAAAGCCAAGGCTTTATCTTTATACCTTGGCTCACAAAGACAAGTGCACAGTACCGTTAGTAAAAGAATTCCTTCTACTAAGTACAAGAACGCAGTCATTCTAGAGAGGAAAATACCTAACTTCTTCCCGCCAGTGTTCAGCGAGTAGTGACAAGTCAAATAATGACTTAAGAAGTACTTTAAAGAAATGGTGACTACTGCATTTTGAATGCAGATATTCTCAACCAATGTAAATGGCCAGGTAGCAAAGCATGATATATTCTGAAATCCCTAAAAAATACTGAAAGCAATTTTCCTACGCCTGTGAAAGAACCCACAAACCAAAACGTGCTCCTGTGACCAATTGGAGTAAATCAATCTAGCCGGTGCTTCATTCCTGACAATTAATTATCCGCATTATACTTTTTTCACTGCTAGAATACAAAGCAACTATACTGTGTGTATTAACATGCCCAAAACCAATTTGAGCTTGCTGCGGTTTTAATCTTTACTAACAACTTCAGGGTATGGGGCGAGATTCTTCCCAGACCAAACCACTCAGTCTCCATCCCTGTCATGACACCTACCTACCCCCTACTAAATCCTCCCATGTAACTAGCTATGGCAGTCATTTCCCACTCCTGCACTGATAAACTGGCAGGCAGCCAAACCATCAACAAAAGACATCACCTTGGGGATCTCTGCCTATGTAGGAATGCTGCAATATTCATTCCATCTATGATTCATGAATCCTCAGGTGCTGTTGATCCATTGTCTGCTCTCTGAAGAATTTGCGTTTTGCACAAATGTTAACGGAGGTATTTGCACAAATTTGCAAATTCACTTGTGCAAATCCACACTCCCTAAATATGCATACTCCAAGATATGCAAACATCTCTGGAAAATGTATTTTCACATTGTAAGCTATGTGGGAAAAAGTTATCCTCTGGGCAATATTTTTGTTGCGTTTTCTACCACCAAATTTGCATAAAATTACAGATTTTTTAAACTGTCTGAAGAGAGCGGAATCTGTGCAATGTGGGAAAATTCAGTTTGCTGCAGAGTCTATGGGTTGGATTCTTAGAAATTCAGACTCATTTGTCTGCTGTGGATTTCTCTACATCTACACCTTTCCTCAAAGGCTTCCAGGGCAACTTCTCAGTTCCTAATACGCAATTCTCTGTGGCTTCTGGATTGCCTGACACAACTCCCCATGTTATTTTACTCAGCATCTGAAAAGTACAAGATACAGTTTTTGAGGTACTCACGAACTGGTGCTGAACAGGATCAAAATAATGTGAGACTACTTTGACCCTCTCATATCACGACATGAAAGCTTGGTTTGGAAGCAGAGCCTTATCGACTGAGCTCTCATTCCTTGATGGGTGAGGTGATAAAAAGTGCATGCAACACGCTTATATCAAGCTTCACGGGTGTGATGCATCCAGCTCTGCTACCAAGAATGGTGCCACATAGTCCACAAGCATGCTTTCATAATATACCCCGCCTCACCTAAAGCCAGCACTATTGGTTTTTGAAAGGGCTGCCACATAAGACAGCCCTCTTAGCAACTGCTTTAGAATGCTAAAATGGGCAGGAAAGAGCAGGGCTGCTGGGTAGTAAGTCCTCTGCCAGCATTCCCCTTATATTTGGGCACTACTTGGACCCTGTGCAATGATGAGTGATTGAGCATCTCCCAACAGGAGGAAAAGCAGCAGCATCCTATAGCCTGCATCTCCTTATAGGGAGGGGTAGGGTGTGCGGAGAAGAAAAAGCGGGAGTTGAGTGTGACTGGCAGACGGCCAACTACCTGCTTCTTCTCTTTAAGACAATCACCCTTCTACACTGCAACTCTGCTTAGCAATTTGGATGATTGTTGGTGCTGAAAACCCCCCACCACAGTAGACACTTGTGGCATTAGGTAGTACTTATTATTTGGAAGATGGGCCTTAACTCCTGACCACAAAATGACTACCGAAAAAACAAGGGCTACTTTTGCATCATCAACACGCATCAATCATGCATCTCCTCTTCCGTTAATGCTCTGAAACATTTCCCCTTTGTAAAGCTTTGAATTGAGATCACTGCACCATTTTGCCAAAGTTGATCTGAATCCCATGGAAATTTTTACTGATTATGCTCCTATGGCCTTTTTATGGGTATGTTTCCAACCTCAACTTGATGGAATAAGTTGGAATTGCCTCCACTGGCTGATATTCTTCAGAGCTAGACCCTGGTTATAAAAAGGGGAAGTCTGGACTCTTCAAACAGGGTGAGATGAGGTGTTCATGGTGAATGACACGTCATGCGCTCAAATTTCAAAGTGAGAAAGGGGAAGTGAGGAGGGTCTCTTCTGGACACATCTACCTTGCTCCACCAACCCCATGGTGGCACCGGAGGCTGCTGCTGCAGACATTGTGGCGGGAGCGGTGGTCTGTCTGCCCACTGTTAGCACCAGGTTGGGAAACAAAGAAATAAAGGACAGCAAATAGGGAAAGGGATGGGGAAAGAGTTAGAGAAGAACAAAGAGAGAGAGAAAGAGGGAAAGTAAGAAGGGGAAAGAAAGGAGACAAAGGAAGCAGAAAAAGATTAGAGTTAAAGTTGAGATGAAGAGACTGGCAGCAAACGTGCATTCACTTTTACACAATCCATGGATCTTTTCCATTTGAGCAAGACATATTCTCCTTTCTCTGCTCTGGAAACCCCACCCTTGCATTGTTGGACTGTGGGACAATGTATGCTACAGGATCAAGACTTCTGTAGCCTCTAGATGATACTTTTAATGGTAATGAGCATTATAACCCAAAGTGAAGCACAGAGGGGCTGTCATGCCATCAGAACTAAACCATGCCATCAAATGTAGCAGGAATGATAAGGTATGGGGGACACTGAAGAATTCTCACTGTTGGGACTGACTGAGAGTCATAGATTATCATGCGCAAGATGAAGTATGTGAACCATGCATCACTTCTGCAGTTGGTTCCTGGAGATTCTCTGAAGAGTTAAAACCCTGTGATAACATAACCTTCATCTTCCTCAATTATCATTCTATGAAGTTCTTCCCTGAGGAATCACTTAGCAACAGAAACTTAAAAGCCACGTTTGCAGGCCTCAGAGCTTGGTAGAGACATGGTTCACCCTGCAATTACGTGACTGTGGAAATCTTCATGAAATTTGGCAGTTGTCATAGAATTACTTGGGGAGGGGGAGAAATTGACAGCTGAAGACAGGTGCATGGTACCTATCATTTGCTTTCTAGCTGTAAGGATCAGGCAGGCATTGGAAGCTACTGGGTTCCCCAGATAAAATTCAGTCAATCCCCACAGATAGCAACAAGGTAGAACTAAAGCTAAAAGTATGCATGTTTTATTTTTATTATTTATTTATTGCTAAAGTTCACTCCTCCATTAAATATACTTTGGGTATTTTCCCTTTTTCCCCCTCATCATCTCTAAAATAGCACTGCTTTCTGGTCACTTTGTTTATCAACACCCAATTTCTTCCCAGGAATTCCAAATTCCACAAAAAGATAGTGCAAATACTGGGTCCAGAATTAATCAAATCTTTGCTGGCGTTACATAATCTGTTTTTTTTTTTACACAGGATTGGTAGGTGCACATTTTCCTGTTTGCAGAACTTGGGGTTCCAAGCTGAGGAATATGGATTGTGTCATTGTTTGCTGTAAATTCATGGGGCCTTACTCAGGCTCATGAACAGTGAAGGGAGAGGGAGCCCTGCGGGAAAGTAAGGAGGGGAAAACAGTGAGTGGGTGGATCCTTGCTTGAGGAATCTACTCAGCCATCTTATATCCTCTGTTCTCTTTCAAAATGCAGACGCTTTTGTTCACTTCTCTAGTCAGGGACAGCAGCTCATCTCCTCTGCGATGAGAACGCTTTGCTCTTTTAGAAGGTGAATGCCTCTCTGATTGATCCGATGATGGTAATGAACCAAACCAGGAAATGCGATGGGGGTCGGGGGGAGACACATTGTACCTCTGCATTTGAAGGCAAAACCAACCAGAAGAGTTAATACACCACAAGCAATGCTTGTGCCCTCGAGGTGTCCAGTTTAATATTGTATTACCAAGATTTTTAAAAAAAGAAAAGAAAAAGATGTCCCAATGAAATTAAGGAAGAGATGGAGTAGCAGGAATGAAGAGGGCTGTAGCTGAATCGGTATGGGCATGCTTTCCATCCAGTAGGTAGGGTGAGGAAGGTATCCTGCATGGAACTCTGGAGAACTATAGCCAGTTGCTGTCAACCATACTGGGCCAGGTTCAGTAACAGGTGGATTTCTTATCTAAACATGCCATTTGAGACCTCCAAGGAATGGGCAGAGGCTGGGGCAGGGGCCAGATCAGATATATTCAAGATTAAATTGCAGTCAAGTTGTGTAATTTGGAGATAAAGGTGCTCCTGTGGAATATGATGACACATAGCCTAGAAGATGGAGTTGGGGGCTGCCTCTCTTTCTAAATGGCAACCCTGAGTAGTACGTACGGAGGATCGAGGATGTAGGAGAGAGACAGAAACCCCATAGCAAGCCTGCATTTCTGCAAGACTGGGGGTTCTCGGTATGCAGCATTGCTCAAACTGCTTTGACTGGTTCAGTTACTAAGGCTTCAGCAGGGGAGGAGAAGGGAGGGAGAAGAGGAAAGGATAAAGTCAACAGGAAGCCAGTCAGTTTTCTCAAAAGAACACAGGTAGGAGGGCATTCCAGGACACACTCAATTTTCACTCTTATTGGTTTTATGTGCGGAGATGGACTTGACATCCTGTCAGCAAAAATAAATTAGTTTATGTTCTACTCCTGGTTCCAATATATAACTTTTCACATCACAATGCCAGAGAGCACCAGGATAAGGAGAGAGAGAGAGACAGATGTTACACTCCAAGGCTAACGTTAATTAACTACATCTATATTAGTGCAGCAGCCTGGACGACGGTTGCACTTGCCAGGCCTCTGTTTCAAGGCTGCCTCTGTTCAGGTGCGGTGTATTTCTTTTAATTAAAGGGGGAAAGGGAACTATTGAGGTGCAAGAATTTTTCTTTTCTCTTCATTAAGCAAAGCAAAGCTCTCACCTGAAAAGTTTCTTGTTGCCAACATAGTGGTAAGAATTGCACCCTAAAAGAGAAAATAAAGAGTTTTTTAAGGAGATTTTCACAGGGAATTTTTACAGATTTTAAGTACAAAAGAAGATCCTTAAGAAAGGAGGAGTGAGAATCTAGTATGTGTATGCAAATTAAGGACATGCAACACTGAAATGACTCAAAACCATTCCCGACATCTTGTATCCCCATTTCTAAAAAGGCCAATTTTAGAAAGGTAGGATCCTGCCTTGGTGAAAAAGCCTCTACTTGGAGGCCTTTCTGATCCCCGAGGAACTTAAACTGGCATGCTGCTGTTTGCATGTTTAAATTCCTCTGTATCTAAAAACATGAGTGCTCTTAACCTATCACGCAATAAAAACAGAAGCTATGTGGAACTGCAAAGAAGTATTTTTTCAAATGGCAACTCGAACCTCAGTCTGAATGGGTGCGATAGGCATTGCAACTCCATCCTTGGAAGAGTTTGGAGCAGGGAGAGATGGTGTGAAGATCCGCTTCCTCAAGATCCATGAGACTCTCCATCTCTCTTACTCCAAGACAGTGAGAGACACAAATTTCGAAATCCTCTGCCATGCCTCCCACTCTTACTGGCAGGGGAGAGGACAGAGGGAAAGATGAAAAACGGGAGCTGTAGGTCTACATGCATCCATCCCTTAGGACTATGCTTGGAATGGAGATTTATAAAAGTGTATCATTTATTAACATTAATCATCTTCCCCAAAATGATTCCTTTTTTCAAAAGGAAGAACAGTGCTGCAGGGCAAGTATGGAGTAATTTTATCCCATCCTTACTTGTTCAGCCTTTAAAGGTTAAAGACACCTTGTCAAATAAATCAGTTTGGTTAGCAAGAAGCCTGGAGACACTGAAGACTAATGCCGCATCACAGAGCCTTCCACTGTAATGCCAACTCTTTTTCTAACACAGTGCTATAGGATATAGGTTAAATAATTTGCAATGGTCAGATATTATTAAGTTATTAGCATACAATCACAAAGAACATGTTACTTTTAAGGAAGAAACAGATCTTGAAATGTCTCAGATTAACTCCACTCTGCCATCACAACTCCCTTCACAACCAGTATAATTATGCTCACTTTTTGACGTGGAAAGGGAAATACCAGGAAAGGACCAAAGGAAAAGGAATAATGCTCCTCTATGTCCTTTTGTAAAAAAAAGTAGCAAACAGCTTCTGTTTGTTGCTGAAAAGCAGCAAAGAGCCAATGTAAAGACTGGAGGCTGCCTCACATACCACCATATTTCATAAAACCATCCATGAGGATGATGGATTACCATGTGTGGCAAATGCTCACATGGGTCCACATTATACACACTATCGGACATAGTGGTTAGCAAAAGAAGGATACTCTTCTTCTATAAAGAAGAACCAGCAGAGGGCCAGCGAGGAGTAGTGTAAGGTTGGGGTGCAGGAGATCTCGGTTCTAGTCTCCTCTCAGCCATGAAACTCACTGGGTGCCCCTGGGCCACCCACTGAGGCTAACCTGGCTCACAGGGCTGCTATTGTGAGGATAAAATGGAGAGAAGGGTTATGTATAGCTCTGTTGCTTCCTCGAAAGAGGCAGAAAGGACAGCAGAGATACAATAAAGAAAGAATGTGTTACTCCTAACTAGGGATGGGGGAATTCTGGCTGAGATGCATGGATACTGCCCCCGCCACACACACACACACAAGTTCATATGATTCACGGGCATTTCCAGGAGGCGCTTCCTCACTCTGCAGAAGAACTGCTAAGGGGAACAGCCAGGCCAGCACTACTGCTCCAGCATCATTCAGAGCATCTCCCAAGCACTGGCAGCCAAATGTCCCTCACCCACACTTCCTGCCGCAGCTGAAATGTTTCCTATTACAAGAAGTAGGTGTGCATCTTCACCTTCCTTGCTCTCCATGGATAGTACCGTCACTATTCCTTGCAGTCAGTGGATAACTGAATAGCCAAAGCTTCAAGGTTTCCTTCCTAAACGTTGCAATAGCTGTATGCATTTAATTATGGTATTTACAATGCAAATAAAAACCATTCAATTAATGCAAATTGTGTGTGGCCTTCCATTTTTCTGTGGTATAATAGTCCTTGGTAGGAATAAAAAAAAAATCTAAAGCAGTTCTCAAAAGTTCTAGGCTTGGTTCTGAGCAGAACTGCCAACCAGGAATTTTGCAATGTATCAAGTGGGCCTTAATGAAAGGATTGGTGTTTTACTGCGGTAGGAAAGGCATATGCAAATATGTGTGCACATGCATGTGCACACACTTAAAATTACCATGATATTTACATGCTGTCTTTTTGCCCCCAGATTGGGCCATATAAAAGGGGAATGCAATCAATCATAATGAAAAGCAGAGGAGGGAGACCATCAAAGATGGCTTGCTTGCAGCAGGCTTGAGCTTTAGCAACTGATGTAAAGGTAACAGGTAACTTTTACGAAATGCTGAAATGGAAGAAAGCAGAGTTGGGATTGTACCACTATTTACAACTGGACAGATATCCAGCAGAAAATGTCTTAGAGACATAAACACTCATACACACACCACTAGATAGACTGGGCACATCAGCGGTGGAAGCAGAGATTGGCGGGGCTGGAAAAACATGACCAAGAGGCAGAGGTGGCATTGTGGACACAATGCACCACAGAAATCAGAAAAGGACAGAACAACCAGCGGTGCTTCAGCAGTAGCCAAGGAAGGTAGATGGAGTGATGTAGAGGGAGGCACTTGAAGTCATGAAGAGTCACAACAAATCTAAAAATGGTAACAATGAACTCTTTGTAAGAAGCAAAATCCATACTGAAGAGAATTGGGAGGACCGCAGGTGAAGGCTGTGGTTATGGTAACACGATCAAGAACGTTGGAAATGTAAGGAGGAGGGAAAGGATGGAACAAAATGGAATAGGGGTCAAAATAAAAAGAGGAAAATAACTAGGGAGGTGTTGACTGGAATTCATACTGGGTTGTGTCAATCTGCAGTTTGAAGAAATCAGCAAGATCATCAGCAACCGTAAACATGGAAGAAGAGCTGGATCAGAGGTGTCCAGGGTAATTTAGTGATAGATAATGGTTTTGAGCAAGAAAAGATGATTTGCTTGGCATGGAAAAGGTCAGAAATTAAGGTAGAGAGACTAAAACACTTGAATTACAGGTCTTACTAAAAGGAGTCAGCACTGGAAGTGTTGACACATATGTTGTTCCCACAGTTTTTCAGCCCATCTCTTACCTTGAGCTTCCTTCTGGCATTGAACTTTTTCAGACACTCTACAGTCTCCTGTCTGTGCATCATGGAGGCCACTGTTGAACGTTGCTGTAAAAATATAAAACAAGAGGGGAAAATGTGGGCAAAGTCTAGCCACTGTGACCTGGCCTCAGAAATGAATATTGAAAGAGAGAGAGAAGTGGCGTAAGAAAAGGTGGGGGGCAGAATTGGAGACATGAACTGGATACTCTACTCAACACACCTCTCATGGACACCCAGATTGTTCTTGTACATTATCTGCATAGAATTAATACCATCCAGTGCAGTAATGCAAACCATAACTGTGATACATACACTGGATTTGTCTGAAGGACAGACTATTGTATCTATCAGGGATTGGGATGCTGTGCCATTTAATCCTGCCCCTCTTTGACAATGACCTGGCGCTCCATGAGCCTAAAGCTGCAAAAGAACAGACTGTCTGAAGGAAACCTGAAGCTGATCGGGGGATCTGAGGCTCTTGGGAAGAGACAGCAGAAAAACCTTCAAGAGGCAGATAGTCCCCTCTCTGAATCAGAGGCAAATAAACAAATGGCGTCTACATCTAGGGAGCAGAGTCCTGTAAAAGTTCAGGCTTGACTCACTGACAGATGTAAAATAAGGGAACGTGGGCATTTCTTTCCAATTCAACCCCGAATGAGTATAAATGTTGTACACCAACAAGACAGAAGCAGCAGAGATACTTACACAGACCCAAGGATGTTTTAGAGCTTCGTGAGCTGTGATCCTCTTTGCTGGGTTGATGGTTAACATCTGGTTTATGAGGTTTTTTGCTTCGGGGGTGACTGTGTCCCACTCAGGAGAAGGAAACTGAGGAGAAAAAGAAATTATGCACATGTTGTTTTGGAGGACACATCAAAGGATATGGGGTGCTCTCATCTAACAGGTCTGTGTGCTCCAAAGAAAGTAAAACCTCTCATCTGTAGCAATAGTATATCATTTGCAACTGATTACTCTCTTTTAGACATTTTATTAAGTTTATTTTAAAAACCTTACTTACCACCTTTTGCAAAAACAGTATGTACATTTTAGAAAACAAACGCCTTAAGAAGACACATAAAAGATGCATTGTTGTTGCATCACAACCAGAAGTGCCGTCTCCCATGAGAGGAGTCGGTGCTCTGCAAATGCGAGTGGCTCAGAGGGCAGTTTTGTCAGGGCTTGTGGTACCACTGACAGGCCCCATGTGGGTACTGTGGTTCAAACTGGAGGGTTCAAGTTGTGTAGTCCCTTCAAGAATTTTCTTGTTCATGGGTGGGAAAAAGCTGCAGAACCTCCCACTTGCCCTTTATGGTGAGAAATCACAGAAAGATATGCTTTGATGGGGATTGGCTTCAATCCTTTCTGATGCAGGGAGTGGAGAAATGGTAATATCTGGTGTATCAGTGCAGAGTGTGCATCGAAAGCATGGCTCATTCCAGAAGTTCTAGACTTCTCCTCCTTTGCAGCACAGGACCATCTTGGATTGGGACTGAGTCCTGCCTGTATGATGGGTTGTAATCCTGGGTCCAAGGTGTCTGTTCTTAGCGGGTCAGCCAGGCTATCAGCCGCAACATTTCGACTTCTGGGTGCAGGATGTTTCCGTCGTCTGGAAAGATCAGATTTGGTATGTTTGGTAGGTGTATATATGTCTGTTTCAATAGTTGGAGGATCAACATGAACCACGGTTGTCTCAGCCACCATGGAGTTGTCATGATGCACGATGTGTGTTTTCCCTCATCTTTGTGATAAGGGGGATTGACAGGGATGCATAACAGAGTCCCTTTCCATCGAAGCAGGAATGCATGCCTAGAGAACTGCATCCCTTGATGGTTCTGGCACAGTAGGTTGTGCATGCTTTGATCATCCCTGATGCAAAGAGGTCGATGGTTGGCACGTCCCATTTCAAGAACATTGAACAGTTGCATTCAGTTCCCACTTGTGGCTCAATTCGTCGGCTATCGCATTGTCTGTTCTGGCAACATGCACAGTTTGGAGAGATACCTGATTCTGGATGCACCAGTTCCAAATGTGTATCATCAATCTAACTAGTGAAGCTGATCATGTTCCTACCTGTTTGTTTATGCAGAACAGTGTTGTTGTATTGTCCATAGCTACTTGTATGTGGTTCCCAGTCAGTACTGGCTGCAGGGATTGGATAGCTTTGTACACTGAGATGAGTTCTAAGTAGTTTATATGTCTCTCTTTTGTTCCAAGCCATTCAACGTCCCTTGAATTTGGTAGTCTCCACAATGGGCTCCCCATCCAGAGAGAGATACGTCAGTCGTGAAGGTTATCATCAGTTCCAGCAGCATGAATAGCATTCCTGGCTTGTCTGTTCTCAATGGGGCAGTATCATCTGCTTCCTTGGTGAGCCTTGATCCAGACAGCACGTTCTTACAAACCATATTCGTAGTGGTCTCATAAGTAGTCTTGCATGTTGTATCAATGCATTTGGTTTCTCTTTCCTAGGTGAAGGACTTGGTACTTGTCCTTACTGAATCTCATTCTTTCAGCCCAGTGTTCAGGTTTATCAAGATTGCCCTGGATCTTCATTCTGTCTTCCAGGGTGTTTGTTATTCCACCCAGTTTTGTATCATCTGCAAATTTGATTATCTTTCTTTGTACACTCTCATCCAAATCATTCATAAAGATGTTGAAGAGCACTGGGCTAGGACTGAACCCTGTGGCACCTCACTAGTTACCTCCATCCAATGTGAGAAGGTGTCATTGATGAGCACTCTTTGTGTCTGATTCAGCAGCCAATTTTGGATCCACCTAATAGTTTTTCCATCTAGTCCAGTTTTTGCTAATTTGCTTATCAGAATGCCATGAGGCACTATGTCAAAACTTCATATCTGGCTTAAGTTTTAAATACTCCGCATAGCAGTCTGAGTGTCCCAAGTGTGTTTGTTAAGTATTGGCCAAGCCTTTTTTGAAACTAGGCTGCGCTATTAGCCATCATTACATTACATGGAAGAGAATACTAAAGTTCAGCTGCTATTGCTGGAGCTTTAAAATTAGCAAAGGCATTGATTTCAGTGGAAGCCATTCTGAACACTTCCCTTTGGGATATCTCTTTGACAGTGAAACTTATAAGCAGGAGCAAAAGAATTTGAAATCTGTTTCTATGTTTGTAAACTCATTGCTAAGTAAAGTGAATTCTGCAAAAAAGATGGGAGTTGTCCTTCTGTCCTAAACCATAGAAGCAGAAGGAGCTGAAGCACTCTAGCAACTCAAACAAACCCCATGCCAGTTCCTGGGACTGCAGTCATTCTGTCGTTGCCAACATAGTCAGCTCAATGTGAGGAGAAGAAAGGAAGGACGGACGGACAGATGGAAGGGCAGAAGAGGAAAGGTACGCAGAGTAGATAGCAAAGGAATTAGCATGGGAAGTGGGAAAGGGAAAGAGGGAAGCCTGCCTAATCCCACAAAGCCATGAGGGTGCAGACAGATAACCCACAAAATCTGCACCCTAGGAAAACCTGTGGAGCAAAGCTCCCCAGGGAGTGTAGAGGAAGAAGGTTCAAATGGTTGCAAGCTTCTCTGGTATATGGAGGAGGAGGTACTCCAAGGCCAGGATCTCAATTGCCCTGTCCCATGTCTGCAAGGGAGCCAGAATGGTGAGTTGCACAGCATTTGCTAGCATATTTTACAGGGTGATCTCTTTGTTTTTCCAGGTGTCTTAGGAATTGTTCTAAGCGTTTTTAGATTTTTGAACAGTTTTATTTACACTGGGTTTATATTTACTGTGGTATGCTGCTGCCAGCTTTATCTTGCTTTTATAATGACCTGTGTTACTGGCATTATTCAAATGCTATCCTGTACTTTAGGGTTTTAACTTGTATACTGCTTTGAGAACTTTCATCATTTGTTAGTTTAAAAATGTAATAATACATCAACCAACCTGGAAACTATAAACACCAAGTAGGGGCTGTATGTGAAAATGTGAAACTGTTTCTTCCTACCTTCTTTCACTTGGAGTAGAGGGGTTTGCCACATCACATTAGAAGCTTCTAATTCAATGCAATAAATAAGCCAGTGTGGTGTAGTGGTTAAGAGCAAGGGACTGGGACTCAGGCGATCCGGGTTCTAGTCCCCGCTCAGCCATGGAGCCAACTCGGTGACTTTGGGCCAGTCACAGACTCTCAGCTCAACCTACCTCACAGGGTTGTTGTTGTGGGGATAAGATGGAGGAGGAGGAGAATGTAAGCTGCCTTGAGCCCTTTGTAGGAAAAAGGCAGGATATAAATTGAAAAATAAATAAATAAAATAAATAAACCCAAAGATTTCTTTGCGGCAGAAGTGATCATCTTCAGGACAGAGTCTGACGCAGAGATGGACAAATCCATCTAACTAGATTAGAGATGGGTAACTCATGGCACATGGGCAGCCCTTCCTTTTCGCAGCCCTACCTACTGTTCAAATTTGGTGGCACTGGTCAAAAGGAAAAAAGGAAATGGCAGCAATTTTGCTCTTAAGCACGGTGTGCAGGGAAATGTGAATCGTGCTTTCAAGCAAAATTATGGGAGGCTGCTCCAAGGAGAGCCAGAGAGCCATGTGGAATGCGCTCCCCAGAGAGGTCCGCCTGGCGCCGTCGTTATTTGTTTTTCGGCGCCAGGCAAAGACCTTTTTATTTAAGAGGCATTTTAACTGTTAATTTTACTGGATTTTATCTGGCCAGGGCGGCTTATTTTATATTGTATTTTTGTATTTTTAATTTAATGTTTATATTTTTTGTAATTTAACATTATAATTATTTTTAATTTATTGTTGTAAGCCGCCCCGAGGCTTCGGTGAATGGGGCGGCATAAAAACGTTTTAATAAAATAAATAAATAAATCTGTTGCGTGTCACCAATTTGAACTGGGTGACACGTTCAGGAAGAGGATGAGTGTGCCTTGAAAAAATAACAGGAGCAAAGCTGTGCGTGCACATCTTGCATCATGGTACAAAGCAAAAGGAGATATTCAGAAGTCTGAGAACCACTTTATTAATTAATAATTACTCCACCTCCCTCCTTAAAAATGCTGTTTCAGTACAAATATCATTAAAACCAAATAAGCCTTTCAAAGTATTTTTCTCAGGGAATTTCCAAAATGTTGCATAGAAAACTGGGTTCTTCTCTTCCTTTGCTGAAGATGCTCCTCCCCTACCCCCAAATTTACTTAGCAAATATGCGTTTGCCTAGGTAATGCACTGTTCCGCTCTAAATTGGTCTAAATTGGTCCACAGGCATACAACATAGGCCGACTGGCAGTCCTTTTGCTTCTTAGGAGCTCACTAATGGAAGACAGCAACTTAGGCTACAAAATATAAAAAGGGATCCAAACTGTATAGTGAGGATGGATTTTATCAAAGAGAAATAATCTAGAATACATTCTGGTTTTCTAATATATATCTCCACTTTTTGACGTCGCATGGCCGTACAGAGAAGTGTGCTTATTCTGCCATACTGCTGGAGATGTCATAGTCCAAACTGAGGTGCTCACTCAAAGCGTGCTTACACAATTTAAACATTTGTTCCCCTGTAATAAGAAAAACCATATAGGGTCGATCCGAATTTACATGAGCAATCCTTGCACTTCTCTGCTCCCTTCACCCACATGCCAGTGCTTCCACAGACCATAATGTTGCTATCTTTGAAGCAGTCAACTGCATTTTGAACAGTATTTCTAAACCAGCACTGAAAACAATGTGTTCAATTCTGACTTGCATTCCTGGTCTGGAAGCTTTACACAAACCATCACTTGCAAATTCCAAGTAATTAAAAATTTTAGTTTGCAATGAAAAAGAAAGAATCAGCAGTCACAAGGGAGAAGAGAGAACATGCATGTTTATGTTGCTAATGAATCCACAACATGGACATGCTGATGGGTACCAAGTCCTTCTCAGCATTCTATTAGACTGTGAACATACCACCTTCATCCCAAACCTGGGTGTAAAGACATGGCCAGAACAGCCCCAAAAGTCTGCTGTAACTTAAAACAAAGGTGGGCATATTCCTGAGACGGGGTTGGCCTCCCTGTTGCTTTGTGGGAGGACATTCACATGCGGAGTTAGACTAAGGGGTGGTTTTACATGCAGTAGACAAATTTTGAGTGATATTACTGAACAGAGGCCGAATTTGCTCATTTTTTGTGACATCAAAATGCTCACCTATATTTGGTTTAAGTCATCAGCCCTGCCTGCCTGTAGTAGAGACAGATGGGCATTTTCACCCCAAGAAATATGATTTGAACGGTTCCCCTCAGGCTGCAGGAGAGGGGGGGGGCAGAGACAGGGGGGCCCTCTGACTTCTGCTGAGAGACAAGTTCCATGTGGCTCTTCCTTTGCTCCTCAAACCATTTCCATTCCAGTTGGTTATCATGAGAACTACTATCTAATTTTAAGAATTGGTTCATGTTTGCTTCTCCTACTTCCTGCTCTTCTCTCCCTCTACTTTTACCTGATGTATCTTATCTTTTAGATTTCAACCCAGTGGGCAAGGCCTCTTTCATTTTTATAAATCATATGCACCTTCTCTTGGAGACCTTTCAGCTTAAGGGTGGATAGCAATGCATATACACCTAACATGCCTACATGCATACATACACACATGCACGCAAACGGACCAATGCGCTATCTGCTGAGGGAGCAGCTTTCTCCAACCTGGTGCCATTCAGATGTCTCAGACAACAACAACCATCTTCCTCTACTGGAAGGGAAAGGTCATGTTCCTCGGGGAGGGGTAGGATATATTGTCTTGACACATCCAGAGGGGATCAGATTTAGGAATGCTGTGCTAGAGAAATAGCTATGGCACCAAAGAACATGTGAAACTTGACAAAAAGTTCTTTCTTTGCCTCTCCTCAGGCCGACAAGAAGAGCATGGCCTGTATGTTATCAGGTACATTGTGCAAACAACATAATGAGGACCAGAGAGAAAACCAATGTAATAAGCCGCTACTCACATCATAGGCTCCAGCCTTAATCTGTTGGTACAGCTTGTGCTGATCCTCATCCCAGAAAGGAGGGTACCCAACCAGTAAGATGTAAAGAATAACACCTAAAGGAAAGAATGGGGCAACGGCAAATTTAGAACCAAGTATATCTAGTTCTTATGTTGCATATTCTAACCATCTGGAGTTGAATGCTGGTAGAGAAGGGACTTCTGGAAATATAGGTTCCCTCCCTCCTTGGACAAAGGGATTCACTTCCAGTTCTTCTAACACTAATGGATAACTTGCAGATCAGGCTGTGTGGTTGATAGGAAGGGGTAGCTTTCAGTTTGGTGCAAGATTCCAACTGACTGCTGATTTTCACTGACTGCAATTCAGGGGTACAGCATATGATTTGCATGCAAATAGATGTTTCTGTCAGAAACACTGGAGAACTGTTGCTGGTCAGAATACACCAACATTGAGCTAGAATCGAATAGCCTGATAAATGATGCAATATGAGGTGCCACTGCCTTAGAGGCATACGGGTAGGGCGTAAGGTAATTATTTGATTGCTCCTCAATTTAAAATAGGGCCAATGATGGGCACTTGGTGCTGGACACATCCAAAGGGCAGGGATGAAGCCAAGCAAGGGTCCTTTCTTATTCTTACGGAGCGACCTCTGCAGCTCATACAGCCTTTGGGGTTATTTCCCATAAGAGATCTCTCTCAGCCTGGCCTTCCTTTTTTTCCTTCCTAAACTTGTTTTCCTTCCTAAACTTGTTCATCATGAGGTTTTATTGAGGTTTTATTGCACTGGGGTTGTTTTATTGTATTGTTATTTATTGATGTGTTGTGAGCCGCCCCGAGGCTTGATTGCGATGGGGCGGCATAGAAATGTTCGAAATAAATAAATAAATAAATAATAAATCCTTTAAAGCAGTGGTTTTCAAACATTTTCAGGCAGCAGCCTCCTTTCCTCTTGGGCAACAACCCCAGTGCCCCCCGCCCCTCCTCTTTCTTTGTACTAGGTCTACTGCTGTACTGCAAATTCTAAATGACCAATCGCTGTCCCCCTGGATCTGCCCCCGACCCCTCAAGGACTGCCTGCTTTGGGAGTCACTGCTTTGGAGCATGAGTGCTGAATCGCCCCCAGACCAAGGGCCAAACTCCAGTCAAGGGAACTTCCTGGAAGCTGCACTGCAATAGTGGATGCAGCTGAAGACAAAAAGGGCTGGGCCAAAGACAAAAGGAGCAGGGCCCTCCAAAATGCAGGACATTTTAAGCTCTTGCTGCCAAGACTTAGAAGAGGCATTTCAACCTTTCAGAATGAGGAAAAAACTGCCCAGAACGTGAGAAACTACCCAATGCTTAGCAGCCAGGGAGAAGGAACTGGAGAACACGGAAGACCATCCTGGGATGCCATATGGCCCAAATCTGGCCCTGGGATTGTGATTCCATGTCGCTGTTTTACAGTTCCATTCCACCCGGGAAACCTTTGGCTGAGCTGTGGTTCATGGCCGCTTACCAAGGGTCACTTTCTGTGGTGGGCAAACACCACCAGAGGAAACTTTCCTACCAGCCAGCATTTCCCCTTACGGTGAGGAGAATTCACCACTCATCAACTGTGTGCAATACACCCATCAGAAATGCAAAGCAACAGATGCAACAGAATCCTCCTCATCATTTAAGCGCCTGGTTGAATGTCTGCCACAGGGCGACAACAAATTCACTGGGTTTCCAAGCATATGATCTGGCATGGAGGAATGATGGGAAGGGAAACTTTCCACTTACTTGCTTATTTATTACTTTTAAATGCCATCCCCTCATGCCCCGGCATCTCGGGACAGCTTACAACATAGAATTAAAACAATAAAACAGTAGCAGTAAAATTACATAAACACTAAAACAAAAAACTGACTGTTAATGATAAAATTGATTTTTAAAATAGCCATTAAATAAAAAGGTTTTAACCTGGCGCCGAAAGGAATATAGACTCAGCGCCAGGCACACCTCTCCAGGGAACGCATTCCATAACCTGGCTGCCACCACAGAGAAGGCCCTGCTCTGGGTAGTCGTTCTTTTTATCTCCTTTAAAGAGGGCTCCCGGAGCAGGGCCTCTCCCGCAGAACTTAAGGAGCGTGAGGGCATGTAAGGGAAGAGGCGCTCCTTCAGGTATCCTGGTCCCAAGCCATTCAGGATAGGTCAAAACCAGCACCTTGAATTGGGCCCAGACTTCAACTGGGAGCCAGTGGAGCTGATGGAGGACCGGCGTCTCCATTCCAAAGCACCCTTTCCCCAGAAAGCTTTCCTTGCTTAAAAAAGAAAAAGTGGCAATGGGGGGTGGGGGGCTTAGGTTTCCCATTGCAACCACTTGCATATAAAGTTTAGTTAGCCCGAATGGAGTGTTACATTTCCGCATTCATACAAAAAGATCCTGATGTAGCTACTAAACCCTGCTTGAGCTACCCACTGTCAAGAGTCTTGCAAACGCCATCCCCACAGTCCCCATCCCCACTTGAGATATGCCACCCACGAGGCCACAGGGGAACAGCAAATCTGAAATAGGCAGATGAGAACCATTTAGAGCAGTGGTTTTCAACCACTGGTCTGGGGACTGGCACTGGTCTGCAGGAGATTTCCTGCCGGTCCATGGTGGGGGGGTGCATCCTGCTCACTGCAGGCCCGCACAGGGGCTGGCTGTGCTCCACCACCTCTTCCTCGGTTGGCACTGCATTTGTGGGGGGGGGGGGGTGCCGGTGCTTCTGGGGGTGCAGAGAGGGGAGATACGGCTCAGTGGGAGCTGGCTGGGAGCCATGCTGCACCGATTCTGGTATTTGCTCTTTTGCTGGCATTTTTAGCCGCCCAGTTTCTGGTTGTTTTGGAGCATTTTCTTTTTCTTTTAATTGTGTTTGGAAACTAATACACAGAATACTGCATTGTGTGTATGGTGCTTTTTGTTTCAGCTTCAGCAGTCCCCAAGGTGGTCTTCCCGTTTCCGCCAGTCCCCAGCTGCAGAAAGGTTGCAAACCACGGATTTAGGGTATCGGTCTGCAACTCACTACCCAGAACTGAGTCACACCTGCAGTATACCACTGTACACATAGAAGGTAAAAACTGTTCTTCAACTGGTTCAGAACAGAGTTGCCAAGTTGTTAACAGGCACCAGCAGGAATGAACACAGAACGTCAGCTCCTTTTCCACCTACACTGGCTTCCAGTTGAAGCCTGGGCCCAATTTAAGGTGCTGGTGATACAGCCCTAAATGGCTTAGGGGCTGGTTACCTGAAGGAGCGTCTTCTTCCATATGTGCCTGCCCACCCCTTAAGGTCTGGGGCAGAGGCCATTCTCCGGGAGCCCTCCCTGAGGGGGATTAGGAGGGTGACTACCTGGAGAAGGGCCTTCTCTGTGGTGGTGCCCCGATTGTGGAATTCGCTCCCCAGAGAGGTTCGCCTGATGCCATCACTTTATTTCTTTCGGCGCCAGGCTAAAACCTTTTTATTTTCCCAATGTTTTAAGATTTAGTTGTTTTAATTGGGGTTTTATTGCTGGTTGAAAATTTTATTAGGATGCTGTGGTTTATTTTATTTTATTATGTTATATTGTCTTACTGTTAAACTATCCCAAGACCACAGTAAGGGATGGTCCAGAAAAGCTTTAAATAAATAAATAAATAAATAAATAAATAAATAAATAAATAAATAAATACATTTAAAATATTATGTTGTTATACTTATTCACTGTGAGCCACCTTAAACTTTTTATAAGTAATGGGGACTATAAGCCAGTAGAAGTATGTATAGATAATTTGTTTGTTTAGAGCAACTTTTTCTTCTCCAGAACATCAAAGCTTTGATCGTGACATGCTGACTCCTCGATTGTGCAAGTTGAGCTGCAGAGGAATGGACCTAGTGCTGAGTAACAGGTTAGATCAGATTTTGCAACTCCGTTATTCTATCCTTTTCTGGAACAGCCACACTCCGGTCAGGCAGGAGTCTTACCACATGCCCAAATATCCACAGGTTTGCCATAGGCTTCTTTGCGAAGAACTTCGGGTGAAAGATAGCCAGGAGTGCCCGCAAAGCCTGGAGTAGAAAGAAAGATCGCCAGCACGTGTTTGCATGATCACCCGGTCAACACAGTAAGCTGGGGAAGGGGGTGGAGGGAAAGATTTCATCCAGCACTCACCAAACCAGGCCTGCTGGTCTCCTTGCACCTCAATCGCCAAGCCAAAATCTGCCAACTTCACTGCCGCTCCTTTGCATTTACTGGCCAGAAGCAGGTTCTCCGGCTGTCATGGTGACCCAGTTTAACATAGGGTGCCATTTTAATTGAGCAATGTATCATTTTGGTTTGGATTAAATTAAAGGAAGGGAATAGGAAAAAAGAAACAGGAAAAAACAACAACAACAAACAGTTTGCAGAAGCCAGTTAGAAACTCACAGTCATCCCCCCCCCACAAAAAAATGTGAGATAGAGAAAGACAGAAAAAGAGACAAGCTATTCTCTAGAAATAGCCCCATCCCATAGCCAGGATACATGGGGGACAGATCAGAGCAGTATGCCCTTGTGTTACGTGGAGGATTGAAAATTTGGATAGTCTGATTTGCCAGCCTGCTGGTCCCATGAATACTTTAGATATATGGTGAAGGAACCAAGCCGCTATGCCTCTTAGGCTGCAATACTTTACATAATTACCTGACGTTAATCTCCAATGAATATAATGGGGTTTCTTTCTGAGTAAACAGACATTGGATCATACTGTTGGTGGCCTAGAACCATCCCCTCTACTTGCTGAATCCCCTCAGACTCTATTCTATGCCAGTGCACAATTCTGATTGCCTTTGTAATTGACACTTCCCAAGAATTAAGGGGAAGTACCCAATCGATTCAGGAGTCCAAGGCGATTGCAAAGGGGAACATAGAAATAAATTAGTCCCCTTCATAATTCACAAGGATTTCCCTCAAGGCTAATCCAGCTGAGTACAGAAAATAAGTTCAGTTGTGGTTTTTTAATGAGTCTAAATCAGTAAAAGCAGATTAAACTCTGTTTTTAAGTCTGAAGCTATACTTCTGTGGTCACCTGAAAAAACTTGTGAATGGATTTCGACAAACAAAAGCAGCATTGGAGATTTGAAGGAAGGTGAACAAACACCTTGCTTTTGTCCTGTTTGCTCGCTGCCAAAGCTTTGTTTCTTTTATGCTACGACAGCGACTGCCATCCCTTTGGTCTAAGATTGTCCAGTAACATACAGAACTCCCAAAACATCTGACACAAGGCACCAATTACTTACACTTCCAGCGCAATCCTATGTGTGTTTGGACCAAAAAATATTAAAACGTCATGCAACTCCCGGAGTTTTCCAGTAGCATGACTCAGACTTTTTTTCAGTCTAAACATGCATAAAGTTGTTTCTTTCTTCAAAAAGAAAATGCTATTATTAAAACCCTAAGGTTGATCCTGAGGTATCAAGCCACAACTAGTGACCCAATATTTTCCAATATAGATTTGTGTTACATAAAAAAAAAGTCCCTTGGAAAAACTTTTGCTTTCGCTCTAATAGATATTTTTGGTGCCTTTAAGGAATATTGGGTCAGGTGAGACTGGCTAGTGAGCCAAGGTTAAGTTCCCCTGCAGATTGTGTCTTTCCTTGCCCGGCTCATCTGCTGCCCTTTGGCACTTAAGACAGCTGCCTGCCAGGTGGCCCTTTCCATTGCTGTCCTTCAGGGGTTGAGGTTCGTAGGGCTGATAAGCGCAGGCTGCCTCTTTTGCTCTCTCTAGTCTATCTAGTCACTCTGATCATGACCGTGGAAAAGTGGAACACACATAATGAGTTCCTAGGTCCACTTTACCAGCCTTCCCCAGCCTGATGTCCCCCAGTGTTTCACCACAGCGCCCACCATCCGCCAGTCAGCACGCTGGCTGAGAGATGCCGAGCGCTGCAGTCCAGTGCAGCAGGAGGGGAAGGCTGATGCTAAGTGAATGCAGCTCTGGCTACAACATCAAGGCAAGAGAAACGCGTGCACATCACCATGCTCTTGTGGCTTTCAGTTCCCGTCTTGCAACTTACAACGACACAACAGACATTGTTCTATCCACCAAGCATGCACAAGAAAGGGCTCCCCTCCATTCCATCCTTTGTTTGGACTGTTTTTCCTCCTTTGAGGTTAATTAGATACGCTTCTTGTCACATTCTCCCCGGTGCCCCCACCCCGTATATGGTCTACGGTTTTCCAGGTATATCTGCTAGGAATCAGCAGAGATGATGAAAGTCACTGATTAAAATATTAAAATAAGAAACTTTGACAATGTTACAAACAACACAGGAAGGGAGTATGTGCCAGCTCTGGCAGTGGATTAGAGAAAAGCTGCGGCTACCAGTATGTGAACATACGTCTTTGCAAAACCTATTGCTCTGCACAGCATTCACACGTCTTCTTAATGTCTTTAGAGGAACAGCACTATGAAGAAGCCTAGGAAGATAAAAGCAACCAAAGTTCTCCAGTTCACAAAGATAAGCAAAATCAGTATTTCAAATGGGAAGCAGAATAATCATTCATAAGAAATAAGTCCCACTGAACATAATGGAACACAATGCTGCAGATCATGCTATAAAACTATCAACTTATTTCACACAACATCCACCTCTTTTGGTCAGCCTGGGTAATTATAGCTAGGTGGCCTGTTGTCTGTCCCTATCCATTCTGACAAAGTATCATTCCTGATGGAAGACTCTTGTAGAACTGGAATCTAGAGGTGGGACGCTGCTAAGAGTTTCAAAAAGGCCAACTGAGTGGGCACTATCCAATTCAACGTTGCTCCTAACATATTTATTTCGTGTTACAATAGGCATCCTTTAGCACGATGCCAATACCTGGTGTAACAAGTTTTCAGAGAAAGCTGTTGTGCTGGCATTTGCCAGCACCACTGTGAAATTTTGTTTACAGTGCAATTTAGATTTACACAGTGTAACTTAGATTGGTACTAGTGTCAAATTGGATGTTGTCCAGCGGGGCCTCAATTTTACTCTAGCTGGATTTTCTGTGCATGACAAAGTACTAAAAAGAACAGCCTTACTGTAACACTGGTTGTGGGTGATTTCTACAGTCCACGTCCTCATGACAAGCAACCGCTAAAGGCCTAGCTGCAGCCACAGTATTGCTGTGGTCTGGCATCTCCTTCTACGCTACTAAGGGGAAGGAATAGGGGACATACTTCCATCAGAAGGATATATTCTCCACCCAGTTGCTTGTAACGAATATTGCCTTCCACTTGCAATACTGCAACTATATATTACTCCTCAGTGGGGCAGATCTGAACTGCAGTGGTTTCATTAAGGCATATTAGCACTTGGAAGCCTCCATGGCCAAGCTTTAGTGCGTGTGAAAGACCTACTCTGTACTACAGAATGGTAGAATAGTTGAGTTGGAAGGGGCTGAAGGGCCATCAGGTCCAGCCCCTGCTCAGTGCAGGGCTCCAAGATAAAAAATCCTCCCAGAGGGCTGTCCAGCTACCTTTTGAGCTACAATCTATGAGCTGGTTCTAAATTTTATTCTACTAAGAGTAAACCCACCAAAATCAAAGTGGCTTAATAACGACAAACAATGAAACATTATCTAATGAAGCATTCTGCAGAACTTGAAAGTTTGCACATTTCTGAACTTTGAGTTGTCCTAACAAGAACATTGTGTTGTATGATTTTGGCATTGTTCCTATGGTCAACCTGAGTGCCTTTATTTCTGAAGTCCCATTGATTTCAATAAAGCCCCATACAGAAACATAAACCGTAGACACAGAGCAAGTCAGAATGGGCCTCCCAGGCCATCTAGTCTGACCCCCAGCTCCAGCCGGCTCTGCTCATGACATGCCTACCGTGTGCATGTCCAGCCTATCCTTGAACACCCTCACTGATGGGGCCTCAACCACCCCCCTATCAGTGTGTACTCCAACTATAACTAAATCTAGCACTAGCCCTATCAATCCAACATCAAGAGTCAACAATAAATCTCCTGCTGTCATATCATATGCTTTCTAACCCACTTTTTAAACAAGAAACATCAAATTAGTTGATAGATAAGTAATGCAAGAAAATATTTCACTCTTTATTCACCAGCAAGACAGAATGCATCCCACAAGGCTCATTAGATGTTCAAGATACTACCGTTGCCACAAAAATGCTCCATTATTCAGTTGCAGCATTTGTAATATTCAAAAAATAATAAATATCAACACTTATTCATACTATTTATCTCACCAAGAAAGCATGACTCTCGATGCTAGAAGCCAGCACCCACAATAAGAGACAGAATGTTTTCCTGAGTAAGGACTGGCACACGGATAGTCTTGGGAGTTCAACCCAAAGTACATGCCATTATCTTAAATGGTCTCAGACCAACATACCTCGGCACGGTGTCTCCTTCCCTATCAAACTTCTAGGCTTAGCTGATAGTGCCTTCAGTGGAACTCTTGGGGGAGATTTATACTCCCCATTATAAGGTAAAACATTGCAACACCCGACACCCATTTGCACAGTTAACTAGTCAGTACTGAGAGCTGACAACTGCCAGGGAATCAAGCCCTTCTTTGGACATTCACTTAGTTATTAATCTTCCTCTCCGGGAACTGAATTAACACATTCATCCAGTGCAAGTAAATAAATAGTACAATCCTAGACATCTAAACTTGACAGTGACTTGCGTTATAACCAAGGGCAATCACCTCCAAGTAAACACAGTTATTATTTGGGTGACAGACTCACCAACAGAGGAAAAGATCAACTAAGCTATCACACAATTTTTCTTTCCGATGAGGACAGGAGATTATGCAACTACAGGTTAATTTAATGCTGCTGGGATAGTCCTGCTGATTCCTATCCGTAGGCTGACACTGATACCCGCAAATTGTCTGAAGATGACTTTTTCCGTTTTTGTTTTGTCACCAAAGGCAGCTCATGTATTGTTTCTTCATCCCACAATACTGTGGTATCACCTGAAATCTTTTTGCACAAGGCAAGCTCTTACTTAATTAAATCTGCAAAGAATGCCCTCCATTATGCTGTCCATCTAAAACATACTTAAGGCACAATCCTATGCATGGTTGGACAGAAAAAAGACAGAGCCCGAGCATAGCGGCTTTTTTCTGTGTTAACTTGCATGGGGATGTAATTGTAGTGGGAGTAAACCCACTGAATATGCCAGGAGTTCTGTCTGAGTAAACATGCACGGGATTTTGCTGTACCACTGTTACAACCTGCAGGGTATGTTTCCTACCATGCTTGCAAGATTGGTTTG